GATTTGAAATGTCGAAAAGTTCACTCTCAACATAAGCCATGCAACTGGACTCTGACCAATACTCTCGTTCCTGATGGGATAAACTTTATCATCAAGCTCACTTGGGAAGGCAGCTGGGAGCCTGCCCGGCCTTCCCAGGCACTGACTGATAGAGAAGTCTGAACTGGCTGGTGCATGCTGTGAGCATGAGGTCAGCTCTTCCTGGGTTTTCTCTAGGGGAGCTGGAAACTGCTCTGACAAACTGAGCTAATATACCTGTCATTCAAGGGTAGGGAGAAGGAGGCTAGGAAAACAAAGTTAAAATTAACATGTGAGCAATTGGAAGAAGAAGCATTACATATCATTGCAAGTAAACATTTCGATAAAAGAGACACATTTTCATCTCTCCATTACACTCCGTGTCAAATGTCCTCTCAGGAACAAGTTCAAGGCCTGAGGTGGAGTTTGGATCCCAACAGAGAACTGGATTCTGAGCATAAAAATGCAGATAACCTAACAATAGTGATGAAAGATAAAACTACTATAAATTCAGATTCTTGTTCAAGATTTTGAAATATGTTGAAAGATCTCAAAGGGCATTTTTCCAATTAGTCTGACTTTTACTAGAGTGTTTTTGTTGTTTTTAGCCCTTTGACTTGTATTTACAAATCAAACACACTCTTATGAAACAGATCAAGTGTGGCTTATGTTGATTCATCAAAGTTACCTGAAGAGAAAGAAGAAGAATTGTTGAGCTTATTAAAATGAGTTTGAATATTAAGCAGTTTCTTTTCATGATAAATTTGTTTAAAGTAAGCTTTTCATAGCTCGACTGGTCTTAATTTTAGTATTTGCATTTTATCCAAATCTCACCTCCTTCTTGTCTCTGTATCTTATTCTTAAGATTATGCAAGTTATAAGATCATTTTAGGGAATATTTTTTATGACAATAAGTGTATTGTCATAAAAAGCTAATATAATAATATAATCAAGCTGATTAGGAATAGTTGAAACAAAGGAAAGAGGAGAGACCAAATGTTTCCACTCAAACAATGTTTAAAATAAGTAGACCTGCAATTTTCTAAAAAAAAGAGGGAGAAGGAAAGAAAAAGAAAGAAAGAATGAAAGAAAGGAAATAGAGAGGGCAGGAGAAAACAGAGGGAGGAAGGGGGAGAGGGATAATGACACAAGCTGAGTCTAGAAGGCCACACACAGGTGAATCCCAGCTCCCAGTGCTCTGGGAGCCTGAGGTGGAAAAATAGAAAGTTCAACCCCAGTTGAGCCAGTTTAGCGACTGAATGAGATCCTGCCAAAAATGGGGTGATATCATTTAGTGTGAAGGCCCAGAGTTTAATCCCTACTAGTGAAAATAAAAAGAAAGAGAGAGAGAGAAGGAAAGCAGAAAGGAAGGAAAGAAGGAGAAAAGGAAGCAAGGAAGCATAAGGGAGAGAGGAAGGAAGGAGTGGAGGAAGGAAGGAAGGAATTCATCATAAAAATATAAAAACCTTGTGTTTCCAGGTCTTCACTGGGATACTTAATTGTTTAATGAATACTTCTCACTGACATGTAGACCATAAATATTTTTGATGACTGAGCACATAAAGTGAACAAACACACAGAGGACTTTCACATAGTGGCTGAGGGACATACCAGTCCATAGTTTAAGAACACCTAGGCTTCTTTACACCCAGCCCCTTTTCCATGGCTTCCAGTTTTTCACAGAGGCCTCTGAGTCCAAATCTTTCCATACTTTAGTAAGTGACAATTTCACCACCACCCCGAGCCATGTGTTCTGTCATGTATTAAGCAATACCTGTAGCCTCATTTTACATTTTTCTTATTCCTAGTTGTGTCTCAAGAATTGTACCTCACTGTGGGTGCTTTAGGTGGTGAAGTTATGTGATGGTGTCTTGGGATGGCTAAGCCAAAGTATCGTAGAGTGAGCAGTTTAATCATCAAACACTTCTTCCCTCACAGTGGCGACAGGACCATGCTCAGGAAAAACCTGAAGGGGAGGTGTCCTTGCCCCATCTTGTCTTCTTATGGTTGGCCGGCAATCTGTGACATCCTGGGTATTCAGGTACACATCTTCAACAATTCCTTCATCATCATTGACATCTTCCTTGTGTGTCTCTGTCCTCACATAGCAAACTTCTTGTAAGATCACCGGTCATAAATAATTGATAGATATTGAACCCTACTCCAGTATGACCTGGAAATAAATAATCAAATCTGCAACAATCCTATTTTCAAAAAGGTCACATTCTGAAGTACAAAAATTACAACACTTAGGGGGATGGGGACCCTATTTATCTCAGAATAGAGTCTTAACAGGCATTATTATAATATTGTGTTACAAAGAAATGATTAAAAATTATATATTAATTGATGATTGTGATGGCTAATCTTGATTATCAACTGGACTGGAGCGAAAATGGCCAGTAGATTAGTAGAGGCCACATCTGAGCATCTCTGATTAGGTCACAGGCATGTGGTGCGGGGGACTGTATCCGGTCCCCCACCCATTCCTCTCTGGGTTCTTTCCCTGCATTTTGCTTCCTGTCAACTGGGAAGTATGTAGCTTTGCTCCATCATGCTCTTTCACCATGATATTTCTGCCTTGGAGCCAGCTGACCATGGTGTGGAACCCATCAAACTGTGAGCTAAAGCAAACCTTTTTTCTTTTAAATTGTGTCAGGTGCTTTGTCATGGCAACAGTATACCATATGCTACAACCATCTATTTTGCTATTTCAAGCAACATTTATTTTTGTCAAAGCTGCAGAGGAACACTGAACTTAAGTTCAAAATTTACAACTTAAATTTCTATTCAAACACTCTACCTTTAAATCTTCACACCGTAAAGGTAAAAGACATAAGGGCAAAGGAAATCTCAGATATGCTCACAGTGGAGATGCCCTCATTTGAAAAGGTCAGTAGAGTTTATGTGGAAACGTTTAACTAAACTATTAAATAGAGACATTATCGCATAAATGGATTCCACGCCAGAAAAGGACAAATATAATAAAGATGTCAAGATGCTTCTCAGGAGAAAGTGAGGTCATTAGGCAACTCTGTTGCATTAGAAGACAATGAGAAAATACAATTCATACTATGAAATGTTACAATTCTGAGTTGCATTAATTAATTTTTTCTTCTAAGTTAGAAAGTTATATTTTGTAGTAGGTCATAGAAAGTTATGATAAAATGTCATGAATTTTTAGTCTAATAATGAGATAGTTCGCTTAAAATGCACAAGATTTTAGGAAACTCTGAGATGATCTAAACATGCTTTGACAATAAAAAATTAAAGAAAAATTTGGGGGGATAATAAAAAATTGTTTGTACTTTATTTTATGATACATGTTCAATGTGATTCAGCTGGGAGTTGTAGGGTGTCTTCCTCAAGTTTTATATAGAACTCCCAGAAAGTCAGAGAAAATTGTCCCAATTCATTAATTTTAGCCACAAAGTATGAAGTTTTTATAATATCTGAGATGTTACTTCATGTTGAGATTGTAAAGTAAAATTAAACAAAATTGAGTATTTCACAGATACCCATGTAGAACCAGCTTGTCAAATATTCCATAATAAATGGTATACTCAAAGTATAAATGCAAGGATACCAAAGTCAAAAAAGGTTTTGTCTGCACCATGTGGACTAAAGAACCAGAAGGCATACCTGCTAGGTCAGGTTAGGCAAGGTTTCCTAGCCATTCCAAAATCTCAGTATCTTCACACACACATGTATTTGTACTTTTTTTTTAATGACACATGTTCAATGTGATTCAGCTGGCAGTTGTAGGGTGTCTTCCTCAAGTCCCATAACCACCAGTATACCCAAAAAAGAAAAATGGATAGTCACTAACTGGCTTGTCAAATTTCAGTCCAAAAGGACATACTTACATCACTTCTACTACTTCTCAAATTATCTCGAAAAATCAATGCTTCAGACCTTAGCAAACATAGAGTGAAAGATATAAGTACGAGGAATGCTAGGGCATTCTGTGGTCCCTAATGTCTATTGCTGTTGGCATTTGCAATATAAAATAGACTAGTTTAGTGAGTGGAAGTCATGCCAGATTCAAAACCCTCAAAGTAAAGGAGAAATAAAGTTGGAAGAAGATAGTAGCAAAATTGATAAAGTGAAAATGAATGACCAAAAGTTATGATGATAAATGCTGTGGGGAAAATATGTCAAAAGTATGATAACACTGTGTGCCTGGAGATGGTGTGTTCATTTGGGTTCTCCCAAAGCTGACTTTGAGACTGGAAAGAAATGCAAGTAGTTTATTTGATGGCATTGTTGATGTATCAACCTGATTAAGTGAGAGTCCCCACTTATCTAAACACTAGTTACCAAATATTAATATGGGTGTCTCAGTAAGGGGATTTTGCATATGTAATTAAAGCTTGTAATCAATTTGCTTTCTGGAGAAGACATTGTCCCTTACAGCCCATAAAAACAAGACCATAAAAGCAGGACTGAGGCTTTCCAGAGAGGGAAGAAATTCCACCAGGCCTGTGTCATGGGGTTTCAGCCGCCTCATGAGGTTCCTTTCCTGGCTGCACACCCTATGGTGTCTGGCTTTTTAGCCAGCTCCTGCATTTTGCTCAATCTAATTTCTTAGAAAAGATTTCTGCACCTGTGTATCTTCCACAGATTGTATTTATTTGGTCAAACTTGTTATGAATATTAATAGAAACTACAACAAAGAAATAAAAAAAAGACAAAATGATATCAGCCAATAAAGTATGCTGTCCTGAGCATGTTACTGCTGTAGCGAGCTGGGACAAATTCCCGTGGAGATCAAAAAACTGTGTAGAAAAAAACATCTAAAAATGATATGACTGCCGGAGGAAGCTGAGGTGTTCTCCCATGCACTCCAGTTCCTCCTCCTCATTGTCTGAGGGCCCCTGTACTTCTTACTTATGCCCTAATTTTCTCTAGGACCAGAGGACCCCCACAGGAAGAAAATAGGAGAATGCTAAGCATAGTTTGAAAGCATGTAGGCTGGCGATGGATAAAGTCTCACATGAGTCTACTAAAAAAACTTTGGCTTCTACGCTGTACTTGCTGGGGAGACAAACTTTTTCAAAAACTGGAGCAGAATTTGTGATTTCATCAATACAAACAGAGCCTACCTTGTGCTAGGCACAGAGAAAGAGGCTGAATAAACAGGAGCAAAGTGCATTCTCCATCTTCCAGAAATTTCTGATTCATTAAAAATATTTGTAATTAAATTTCACAGGATTTAGAAGAGATTTCTACCCATGGTGGTGGGTGGTAGAGTTAAATGCTGCTTAGAAATACCTAGAGGATAAGGAAAGATAAAGGTACTTATGAAGCAATCATGGGAAAACCACATGAGAACATTCCTCAAATGCCATATTTAGGTCTGGGTGCTACCCTGCAAGGAAGACAGGCAAATGTGTAAGAAAAAAAGCAGCATTGTAAATTCAGAGAGTTGTACAGGAAATTGCAATCCTTCAATGTGTTTGGGAAGAAAAGACGGTTGAGGTAGCCAAAGAGTGGGCTTTAGAGTAGCCTTTAAAAAAGCTATAGTTCCCATACTGTCTTCATGTAGAGAAATAGGAAACGTCTGCCTTTGATTCTCTGCTTGGCTGAGAGCTGGAAACTACCTCAATGCACGTACTGTATTGTGGGTTTGTTTTGTTTTAGTCTATATCCGCTGTTTTCATTTGTGTTTTGTATTTGGGGGAATGAAACAATTCACCATTGTACCCGAGCTCACTCATACCCTTGGACCAGCCTCACATGCCCCAGGTGGCCACATCAGTTCCCCATCAGTAAGCCCGTACTTTCAATTGGCTCAGGGACACAACCAGAGCCCAGCGGTTTCCCTGCGTTTAGAGGTGCAACATTCCTGTCCCAAATCCAGGCACGTGGCAGCCGCATGCTGAATGGGGGCACATGTGCAGTGACCAATGCCATGAAGAATTAAGAAATATAAATTTCAAAACACAGTGTTTCATTTTCCCGGCTGCCTCACCTAATTATTGCCAGCAGGTACAGTTGGCCAATAACATTGATTTTCACCACCGCCCCTCTTTGCTTAGAAGTAAAAGGCATCAGCCTCTTGTTTGCTTTTCTTTATTTTTCTCTGCATATTGCAGCAATATTGCATGCCAGATCCTCCTCATTTTTTCGTTGCCATTTTGAAGCTTTGATTCACCTGTAAAACATATTTTTATAAAAGCCGGAGAAGGAACCGTGGCCATAAAACCCCACATGCCTGAGCACAGTCTCCGTTGTGAACCATCCAAAAAGGGCCTCCTGCTCACAGCAGGCATTGCTTGGCGGCTCCAGCCTCTTCTTTTTATTCTTCCCCAGCCATTGTGCTCGCAGCCTGGCAGGGTTAGAGCAGCTGAATGCATTATTTCATAATCACTTGACAGTGTTGTCTTTAAACCTCCAAGTTTTACAAGCAAGGTGATGGCCACAAGAGATTTGTCCTGACAACTCAAAGACTGGTTCACGCTGTGTCTGAAGAGGTCAGAGAAAGCAGACAAATACAGAGACATCATGCAAATGAAGCCACACGTATTTATTCTTCTGACTTTTTAATCTGCCTAGATTGATTTTCTATTTTATTTTTCTTTTGACTGTTTACGGGATGAAAACAAAAAATTCAAATAGAGCTATTTAAAAAAAAAGGCAAGGGGACATCCAGCATGCATTCTTCTAGCTTTCACTAGAGAAATCTTCAAGAACAGTGACCTTACCATTTTTCTCTACATATAAAATGTCAAGCTCTCAGAGAGTTTAGAGGAAACTTGGTTGAGGGCAGGGATCATCTTTTCAAAATGCTAGCAATCCCAAACTTTTGTCACAGTCCCATTTACTATGGATCTCACACTCATGCTTTAAAGGTAAATTATGCAGCCATGTATGAGTTTGTTGGTATTACAGACACTCAAAGGACTTTGTATGAGTCAGGGACTTGAATTGTGTTTTCTAGAAAACTAATTCTGTGAGATATTGTCATATCTTCTGTGATTATGGAAATAGTAAATAATTCAGCAAATATTGAGATAAAAATTAACTGCTTTTTATTTTATTTTATCTTATTTATTTTACTTTATTTCCTTCACGGTTTCTCAGTGCTTTAAAGTAGAATCAGGGTATAGTGTCAAGGACCAAATGTCTCCAGAACGCAGTGTGAAAAGCATTTGAGAGAGATAGAAGTTTTCTAGCTACAAAGATGCACAGTTCTAACTCTGACTCTAATTTTTGAACAGAATCTCATAAATTCATTATCATCTGTGTATTTGATGTCTACCTCCAATATATAACAGTGTGTGGCACGTTACTGTTAGGTACATGTTTTAATGATTTACTTAATCTATAGAGACATGAAATTAAGTGTTGGGGTGATTTCACTTTCATTAAAAACTGAGTCTGAAAAAAAAAGTATGATAGAAACAAATGAATAAGAAATTGTGAGGGAAACTTAATAAACAATTAAGTTTATTTTTTATTAACAGATCAGTAAAAGCTAGACATTCTGATGGATCTATTTAAAAATATGATCAGATGGGGACAATTGCTTTGACCTGTTGAACCACAATATGTTTCAAAATTATATTAATGACAATTCTTTCCAAACATGCATTAAATGACTATTAAAGGTCTTCCTTGTTTAAAGATATTTTTTTTTTTACTAATAGATTATCATGTTAAGTAGCATGGTCGCAGATTTCACTATATATTCTTTTGACTCTTTAATTTCATAGGCTACAACTTATCCAAACAGAGTAGAGTATATATGTCATACATTTCATTAAGATTCAGAGCCATGGCTTCTTCTAGAAAGGGCTTGGGCGAGTGGGGAACTGAGGTTTTTCACTGTTAGCTATACAGTCTTACTTTTGAAACTTTTACAGTTTCAAAGTTAACTGCTTTGAAACTCTTGTAATTTGGTACTGGGGGCATTTTGATGCACTAATTTTGTCCAGGTGCTGATTGGTTGTTTGGTACTCAACAGAAAAGCTAGAACTTTAGGTGTTAATTGCCTCATGATTTGCCACCCTTTCCAGCCGAAATTATTAGTTTGGTAGTTATCAAACAAACTTGTTTGGTAGTTTTGGTGTTTATTGTGCCTTCCAGAACCAATCTATAGAGAGTACCAAGATCCCATTGTATTTCAATTCCTTCTTTACTATTCACCACTAACTCCAGTGAAGACTGCAAAGGAAGTTTAAGTATTATCACACAATCAGTATGTGTTTCTTAAAACATATTCAATTAGAGATACATGGAGATATCTGATGGACAAAATGACTTGAGATTATTTTTCTTTTCCTTTCCTTCCAGAAAACATGAATAATGCATCAGTGAAAAACAGTTTCAAGAGTGTAGATTTCAAGTCAGATAAACAAATTTAGAACTGAAGCTACTTCCAAACATAATTGTATTTCAATAACACAATGAAAGTAGCATTTTGGCAATGCAGTAGTATTCCTATTGTCTGTCTGAGGTTTTTGTACTGGATGAGAAGCAAGGGGTGGTGATGCTTAGGATAGCCATATAGGTGTTTCTGGCTTTGTGTGTGTGGGGGGGTACTTAGACTCACCCTGTCCAGTCCAACAGCATGACCTAGGATTGCTTACAACTAACTCTAAAAGCATGCAGGCCTTGAGCAGTGCAGAAAGGTTAGCATTCACACTCAGTATGCTTCAACTTTGAATGTAATAAAGAAATTTTAAATGAAGGTGAAGAAAGAAAAGAAGGAAGGAAGAGAGAAAAAAGGTGGGGATAAAGGAAGAGAGGAAAGGAGATGAAATATAACAGAAAGAAGAGAACAAATGGGAAAGAAAAAAATCTAAAACACATTAGAAACAAAAGAGAAGAGAAAAATGTCATTTTCAATGAATCACTGAACAGCCATTCACAATTTTTTTTTTTTTGTAGCAATGGGAAGTGAACCCAGGCTTCACATTGAACTATGTTTCCCAGCCTTTGGAATTAATTAATTAGTTGATCAATCAACTTTTTGAGATAGAGTCTTGTTAATTTGTTAATTTGTCCAGGCTGAACTCAAGCTAGTAATTTTCCTGTATGCTAGGATTAAAGGTATGAACCATAATGCCAGCTTACAAAACTTACAATTGTTCAAATGTTCATATTGCAGAATATTTTTGCTATGGGGACACAGAGCCTCTGTGAACATTAAAGAATCCTATTGTTATGAGGTTGCAGAGTGGCTGCTTCACCTGGAGGGGCTGCAGAGTGAGTGACTCTGGAACCTGGGAGTTTAATACCTAACCTCAGTATATACTTAATGTTGTTTCAAAACCCAGTAATAACTCAGTAATCAATAGCAATAGTTATAGCTTGAGAGGAGCAAAGTAATTCAGAACTTGTAATACTTGATGATGGAAAACCTTTTCTTTTGAGACAGGGTTTCACTATGTAGTTTGGACTGGCCTTGAATTCATTATATAGTCCAGGCTGGCTTAGAACTTGTGGTGGGTCTCCTGCCTCAGCCTCCCAAGTGCTGAGATTACAGGCATGCCTTCCCTACACAGCCATGATGAAATTTCTGGGGTATTTCTATTGGAGAAAGTGTGGGGCCATGGGAGAGAATGTGAAGCCCTTTGTTGTTTGAGGAAGAAACTTCTTCCATGAACCCTGCTACATTAATTCTTTCCTGGTAATATGGCCGGTCATCCCTGTGAAGCCTAGGAAAGATTGGACTTAATGTGGGGAGCAAATGAATTCATGTGGTAGAATCCCTCACATCCTTTCCACTCACCTCTTGTTCTGGAGGTTGCTGATACAACTAGTTGGACAGCAGATTAAATATTGTTCACTATTTTCTTTGGGTTTAAAGTAATCTCATTCACTGACTAAACATTTGTTCATTTTGTTAGTGGCAAACGGAAACACAATTAGTTTAGAGAAAATATAAAATAAAACCTTTACCACAACTCACCCCATAAACTTTGTTAATAAGCTCTTAATACTTTATTCTAATCCTGTCCAAAGTTTGTTTGATAAGGCTGTAGTAAATTAATACATCAAAATCGATTTTTGGAAAGCTATGTCCACAAAGACTTTGTGACTCATGATTACCTCATGATCAAAGTAAAATTTTATTGTGAACTTTCACCAACATCTTTATCATCAACAGTATCAGTATTGTCCTATGTTTTTACTTCCTGAGGTGCAAATTGTCTTGGTCAACGCACCTTAGGAATAGGATATTATAAAAAGAAAAGAAATATAAAATTATACAGCTTCTTCATACCTTCAGAAGACATATTTTCTTTGGGGAAACAATTTTATAACAAACAAATCTTACAACTTGCAAATTATAAGTGGATCAGCCTGTGGATGGAAATATGTGCAGGAACATTAACATGCTTATAAAATATGATGAATATAATTGTCAGAGACAAAAGGAATTAATGAGTAAAGCAGGAAGATGGAATAATGAGGGGAAAGTGAGAGGAAATAGTTTGGGAGGTATAGAAAATTAGAATAGTCAGGCTAAATATTGATACACTCCAGATTTATTTGTTGAAGCTTCATCTCCAATTGCTACATTCTAAATATTTCTGTTTGCTCCAAAATTCAAACATGCAGAACAAATCCACAGTGTGATGCTATTAAGAGGTAGGGCCCTTGGGAGGTGATGAACTTGCGAATGTGGGGATCTCATGAAGGTACCATCTCACTGGGACCTTGTAACGTAACAGGAGACAAATAAGCTCCTTCAGACATTCGTGAGACTTTGTAGTTTCCAGAACTATGAGAAATAAAATATCTGTTATTTACAATCCATCCAGTTTATGGTACAATCTTACAGAGGTACAAAACGACTAAGACAGCAGGTAAAGCAAGCCACTATTGTGATGGGTACCATATAAAGACGGTTTTAGAACTGATGACCTAGGAAATTGTCTGAGGTTTTTTTAAAGTAGTAGAATGACACAAGAAATGTGATGTTTGGTGACAATAGTTTTAGAGTCTTAAGGAGAAAGTAGTCAGCTAGATGTGTACGGTGGTAAATCCAGTATGAAAAAATGAAAAGTTCAAATACATGTATTGTTCAAATTATGTTAGATGATATGACTCTTCAGACATAACTGACAATTTCTTGTTGACAACTATTATCTTGTCAAAATATCTATAATTGATACTCTGGTCTAATAATTTGGTGATTTTTCTTTTTCTGTGAGGAATAAAAAATTATCAAAATTTCGTTGTGTGCATCTATAGAAATTTGAGATCCTAGTCATAATTGTTATACAATATAGTTTAGAAATGTGAGACAGAGCATGTTTCCTTTTTATTTTTCTTTTCCTGAAATGAATAAAGGGGTCATGAACACTAAAAGAATCCTTTTTTATAACCACAAGCCTAGAATTTAGAGAAATAAGAATAATTTATCTTTCAGGAGATTTTTGGATAGATATTGACAATATTGTGCATTACAGGCAAACTCATGTTCCACGAAACATTTATCCCAATGATGTTGCTGTCCTCCTAAGACCAATGTCTTAGCCCACAGATCTATTTATAGTGAATATCAAGTGCAAATTGACATGTATTCAGAAGGAGACTGCCTTGTTTCTCTGGAATTTAAAAGTAGTATGTCTCCAAGGCATCTCTCAAGTAATTTTTCATTTTACCTTTCGTGTTCAAAAGAAAGGACTCAGGAGAAGAAGAGGTTAGAATTAAATGGACTATAGTGGGGTTTTTTTGTTGTTGTTGTTAATTTCAAACAATAAACTCAGAATGTAGATGGGGTAATCTATGCACTAGGCAGATAAGTAAGAGTGCTCCTGCCCATGCCCTGGAGTGAGATGCAAGGAATGCTACTAATGCCAGCTCCTGCCAAGGACACTTTGATATCTGGGGCAACAGTCTGGTATCACATTCCAAGGACTATAGGCTAAAAGCCTCAACTCAGCTGTTGTGGACTAAGACCATTCATTAAAATGAGATGGATGGCTTAGAATTCGCCACACCATGAAATTATAAATAAAAATCTGAAGCAAAACAGGCAACAATAAATATATCTCTACATGAAGAATAAAGTAATGCTAAAATATTTTACTTGTTTACTTGAATGTTAATGTTAAATCTCAATTTAAATTTTTGGGCAAAACACTGGTTGGAAGCCATATTTTTATGAATCATAGTATATCATTTAATTAACAGAAATACTTCTTCAATATGTGACAGGACCCAGGGGTATTAGTTTCATTTGTCTTTGGTATGTGAAACAAAAGGAAATATTTTAAATAGAGAACAGGTTTCTCGAGCAATGGTGTTGTGTATTTTACACCATAAACAAAATCCAGATGTATTAATGAATTAAATAAAAAACTTCATTATATGAAAATATAGACACATTTTAAATTCAGGGGACAAGGAAATGTTTCATATATACAAAGTAAAAATAAAACACAGAAATGGGTTTTACTCCATAGCAAAGCATGAACTATAAATTAAAAAGCAATGAAAGTATAGACAACATTTAAAAAGACATTCTTGATTAATTATGCATGTACATATGAATATGCATTGAACTAGATATGTAGCATATCTAGCAAAAACTTAGGATTAGGTTTCTATGAAACTTTGATCACAATATTTTCATCAATCAATCGAGAAGTAAACTTTCTTGAGTTATATAATTTTGCTTTGCTCTTTAACCACACATTATGAAAGCATAAATGTTTATCTCAGGGCCAGTAACATTCTCATGCTAGAATGAAGCTTATCTGGAATATTTTCCCTATGAGACATCAGTGCATTCTTGCGGTGTCTCGTGTTCTGAACCTGAAGACTACATTTTAGTACTGTGCACAGGGGCGTTTTCAACAGCAAATTTACTGACAAAAGGCACAAAAAAGGCCAAATACTTGGCACTAGGTAAATAGAAAGAGAAAGGTACTTACAGTATGTGAACTGCCTCAGCACGTCTTCCTGTCCACTCTTGGCTGGAAACGCACACAGGTTGACCCCAACTTTCAGCCTTGAATGACTACACTTTAGCACTCAGTAAGTTTGCAAATACAGAACCTAGGAAAAGTGCAATCCAGTGTGTGTGTTTGTAAGAGTGAGAAGAAAGTGCGACAGGAGGAGGAGCAGATGAAGAGGGAAAAACAACAGTTATTCAGTACTGGGGCAGACCGTTCCTAATGAGAATAAATATCAAAACAAGTGTTCAAATTATCTTAGTTGTATTAAAAAATTTTAACTAGTTATATACTTTGAACAACATGTAATTATTTTATTGAATACAGGTAATGCATTATTTTATAATTTTACTGCTTGTTGTAGTTTTCTTAGTAATAATACATGGTTTTACAATTGTTTCTTAATGTTATTACTGTTTAGAAATCCATATATGAAGAAATACATTTGGATAACAGCACATGATTTAAAGTGGAAAATATGCCATTATGCCTGGAATGATGGTGCACACCTATAATCCCAGCACTTGGGAGGCTGAGCCAGGAGGATTGCTATAAGTTTGAGTCCAGCCTGGGCTACATAAGCAAGTTCAAGTCCAGCCTCCTCTGCATAGTGAGACCTGTCCCAAAAAACCAAAGAGTAAGAAAATAGTATGCAGTCATTAGAAATCACAATAGAAAAGAAAATTTAATATTGGGTTTAAATATTCAATATCAATTAAGAAGTTAAAAAAAAACTATGGGCATATGTAGGGTTTTATATTTTTAAAATATCTATGTAGTATTGATTCAAGTATATATAGTCAATGTTCATATTTCACTGGCTTTCAGGAGCTTTTCACTGTTAATGATTTTTATCCTATTTTGTGGTTTAGAAATATTTTACATTAGCACTTTTAGTTACACTCTTACATTACTATTTTATTGTAATTTACAAATACTTTACTGTAACAGTGTTATGATCATATTAAACAAATTATCTTAAACCTAGGAAATTATTTGAAAATAATATATAACTTTAATAGGATTAGTAGGATACACTTGCTATGTGGATATTATGTTTATTGCACAAAATTATTAAATATTGTATAAAACTACCTGTGGGACATGATTATAAAGTATATATAAAATACAACTGACTTTTGTGTTTAGATTTGAATCCCATCAACATGTCATTCTTCATCCCGTCAAACAATATTCTTCATGTTGTTTTTTTAACAAAAAATCTAAGTTCTGCCAGACCTGCTGGTACAAATCTGTAATCCCAGCCCTTGAGAGGCTGAGGCAGGAAGATCACTGTGAGTTCAAGACCAGCCTGGGCTACAAAGTGAGCTCAAGCCTGGCCTGAACTGCATAGCGAGACCTGTCTCAAAGAGACAAAAATAACTAACTAAATAAATAAATAAAATAAAATCTAAATTCTGAAACACTGTGGCTTCAAGAATTTTGGATATTATGATTAACATATCAAGTCATGTAATGTATCCCTCAGGTCAAATCTGTTTCAAGAGGAATACTAGCTGAGATCTCTTCTTTCAGGAATGAACAATTCCTCCCATTTTTGCCTGTTTTAATTGTTTTCTTGTTCCTCCAGCTGCAGGGATGTGTGTGTATATGTAAACGTACACTTTGGACCAACATTTATAATTATTATTGTGCAAAGCTAAAGTCAATCATTAAACTATAGTTGGAGGAAATACCACTCAATTAGGTTTCTTTTGATACATAAATTATATTTTGTTAAGTGGAAAAGTGGTAAAAATCTTCATTACATTTTTGCAAATCTCATAATTCTCTAGTACATGTTTTTGAAATCAATATATTCTTAAAATGGGATCTGACACATTGTAAAACCACATGTGAACTGCATTTGACCAAGGAACAATGGTACATGCCACTGAAATTACTATGTTTGTAAAAGCTATGTCATATGACAATGTGTAACTCATTGATGTTTAAAGAAACAAACCACTAAAAGTTAAGAAAAACATTGACAGCAGCTCTCTATCTTTGCTCTCAGTTACAGTGGCTCTAATAATCACGTAGAATTTTGATGTGGTTTCTATCTATGGGACTCTGGGATTATGATTATGCAATTATTCATGTTTTTAAGCTATGAGTGAAATCACATGACTTCAGATTTCTACAAGTTGTGAGGAGTTTAAATCTGATATAATTATTGTTAGAGTATAGGTAGGTGTAGCTTTACTTATTTGTAAATTTTATATCAAAAAAATTTAAACCCTTGAATCAAAGAAAATAATTATAGAATACATATTCTCACTTAATTCACACAATGTACCACTTTAAAAAGTTATATATTGTTTAATTTCTGTACTTGTTAATTACTAATACTTATTTCAAAGGCCAATAATATTTAGTAACAATAAAATATTCGGTAAAAATTAATTATTTTTATTTATTTAATGAATATATCAGATTATTTTTACTGACTTGAAATAATATACCATATTAACATTTAATATATTGGATATAAATACATTATTAATAAGTATTTGATAATATTAATGTGAATATTGTATATTTTTCAAAGGAGTATGCTCTTTAGTAATAGTGTAAGTAATGTCCCATTTTAAAAGCGGGCTATTGAAATAAATATATATTTCTTAAAGAAAATTAGGAATCACATGCAAAAATATTCAACATCTTTGGCCATTAGAGAAATGCAAGTCCAAACAGCACTGAGATCCAACCTTACTCCAGAAACAATGGACGTGAGAAAGCTTGCACGCAGTGCACACAGGAGGAGAAGCACAGAGGAACAGGCACTTCACACACTATGTGTTATGGTTTGTGTCTGTGTGCCCCCAAAGCCACATGCGGTCATGGGGCAGGCTTTTACAGTTTGACTGATTATGGGTGTGAGAGCTACACCCGTCCTGGGGTGGATAGTTTGCATATGTAAGGGAGAGGAGGAGGGTGCTTCTGGCCATTTCCTCCCTTGTGTGTGTGCTTGTTGCTTTGCTGTGTTCTGCCGACAGGAGTTGTAGCCCTCTGCCATGTGCCACTCTGCCTTGTAACTTGCCAAGTACAGACTGAAACCTCCACAAACTGTAAGCGAAATAAACCTTTCCTTCCTTAATTTCAGGCGTCAGGTATTTTTGTCCCAGCAATGAGAAAAACGTAACCAAGACACCCTGCCACCTCTGCTGGCCCAGGCCTCATGCAGTCTGTGTGGGAGGCAAGAGGAAAGCAGGAAAACTACAAAATCCAAGCCAGATCTGCTTCTGGGTTCCCTGCTATATGAGGCAGGAGAAGTGACAACTGAAATAGTCATGGGGTTGAAGACCAGATCAACACCCAGGAGGAGAGTTTTCCTACCACAGAAATCTGGTGAGAGACAGATTTGGGAGACAGAATTAGAGAGGGTGAGAGCTAAAGAGGGATCTCCTGGGATTTCCAGGAGGTTCAGGCTCAGGCTCGGGCCAGGAGGATCATAGAGCCTGTGCACTGTGGTGGGAAGCCAGTTTTGGTGGGTGTACCCTTCAGAGTGGGAGGACCTGAAGCGGAAGGCATTTAATCCAATGGTCTGCTTGAGTTCCTGCACCACTTCTTACACCCGGCAGAAATTAATGGTCTAAACTATTCCAGCTCACTCTCTGGGTGGCCTAAGTGTTTCCTCTAAAATCATAGATTTCTATTATCTTGTTAAGCACAGTTTGTAAGTGGCTGTTAGTGTTTTTCGGTATCCACTTGATATCTGACTCCATAGTTGTTGATGACAGTACTACTGTAGCCAAGGTGACACAACTGCTGCTGTCAAGTAGTTTTCTCTGAATGTTAATATCTGGGTTTTCTGTGGGTCATAAACAATGCTGTGGCTCACTCCTAAAGAACTGGACACTGGGCCAAAGAAGCTGAAAACCCCAACACACACACACACACACACACACACAGAGAAAAATGAAAAGACAAGGCATTACAGTGCTTCCCAATACCTCCCAATTCCCCCAAAAGCAGATCAGAAAGAACTGAACAGGAAAAAATCATAAGCCACCATGGTGGCACATACCTATAATCCCAGGACTTGGGAGGCTGAGGCAGGAGGATCAGTATGAGTTCAAGGCCAGCCTTGCTACAAAATGAGTTCAAGATCTGGTTGAACTACATAGTGAGACCCTGCTCAAAAAGCCAAAAAATAAAAAAATAAAAAAGAAAGAAAATATCATAATTCACACAGCAGAAGGGTCTGAAAGAGTATTAATGGAGTTAAAAAAGGCAACATAAATTTATAGAAGATATAACTAATCAGAAAATAAGTCTAATGAAATAAAGTTTTGGCTAGTCTAGACAAGACAGTATTTAAAACCTAGAAAGTAAAGAAAGAGATGCAAAATAAGGATGCACATTACAGAAAAGAATGTGAAACCTTAACAAAGTTCCAAATTTAAATGCAAAAGGGCAAAACTATGAAATTATGGGCAGCAGAAGAGACCAGTGTGAATACAGTGTCAGATCTAGACAACAGGGCTGCAGTCAAAGAACAATTAATCAGAGATATCTTAAAAATGAGAGGACATAAAGTGAATAAAGTAGCTGCTAGATGAGTCAAAGAACACTAATATAAGAGTAATTAGTATTAATGAAAAATTAGAATACAGCACAAAGGCATGCGAAACCTATACATAGAAACAATAGCAGAAAACTTTCCAGACATTAAAAAAGAACGTAGGGGCTGGGGTTTTAGCTCAGTGGCACAGTGCCTGCCTGGCAGGGGCAAGGTCGTGAGTTTGATTCCCGGTACCAGAAGAAAAACACACGCACACACACACAAACAAAAACAAAGCAAACAAACAAAAGAAGAATGTAATGTACAGATAAGTGAGGCATATGTAGCTGTACATAGTCTTTATCAGAAAACAACAAGACTCCATGCCACATCATAACTAAAATACCATGAATCCAACACAAGAACAGTATCTTTGAGGTGGATAGAATAAAGTAATTAAGCACCTATAAAGGAAAACCCATCAGAATTACAACAGATTTCTCCAAACACGCATAAAAGCAAGGAGAGCTTGGAATGAAGGGCTTTAAGCTATGAAAGAAAGAAACTTCCAATCCAAAATAATATATTCTGCAAAT